TAAGCCTGTTATTAATGACCATTAAGATTTGTTGCATTGTGACATTTATTTTCATGATAATTAAACTGTCAAATTCTCATTGCCATAGTGTCTGTCTGTCTGTCTGTCTGTCTGTCTGTCTGTCTATCTATCTATCTATCTATCTATCATATTTAAAATGTTATATAATAATTCATAACATTGATATTTGTAAAATATATTGCAATTATATAATATATTTAAAATTATATAATGTAATAATAATAACAATTATGTACATAAATACTACACAGTTTAAATATGCTCTTTCCAGTTTATTTATTATAGTAATGAGAATGAGATTGTTTTGTAGTGTGGTAATGAGAACTGCGGTTTAAAATGTGCTTAATGAAACAAATTCTGTAATGGTCTTCATTTTCACAAAGCAAAATCTAATTTCTTTCTTTCTTTGTCTTGATTTTGGGGTGAAATATGACCTGCACATGATCTAGACAGGTTTCGTGTGATTCACCCTTCAAGTGAAAGGAGCATCATATTCAGAGATTTTTTCTCTATTGCAAATGGATTTCCAGTCCCCAAAGCACTCTAGACATGAACCATCATGTCAGTATAATTGTAAAATGATAGGCAATAAGTCAGACAGATACAAGTGAATGAATCGTAAGATGAGGGTGCCCGTTTCAATTATGTACATTAGTTATAGATGAGGAACCTTTTGGGAATAACCCATACCGAATACATTTGCAGAATTAATACACTGTGCAAGGCCATTTTCTTGTACGTAATTGCACCCTAATTATCCATTAGTTATTGAATTAGCCTTTTATCTGTTTGTCACAGGCAAAGGCTTAATAAATGGAAGAGAAATCATCAACTTGGCTATCAACGCTCCAAATTTGCAACACAGTGTGCGATGGAAAATACAGAGAGAGAGAGAGGGATGGAGAGAGATACACTACAGTAGCAGAGAAAGATGGAGACAGACAGACAGAGAGAAAGACATATATATATTCATGAGCATCTTCGGGTTGTAATTAAGAATCAAGTAGCTACAATGGAGCCATTAGTTTAAGTTTTAAGAGACTATGCAAGTAAATCTGAAGATTTTTGCTTTTCTTTCTCTCTGCTGATGCACAGCAATCATACTAACATCATATAATACAAATAATATATGCAAACACTTTTTACAACAAACAAAACAAAAGAAATCAATAAAAATAAAAATCGGCATAAATATAGGAGCAAAGTGGAAAGCATGAAATGCCTGCGAAAAGCAGAGGGATTGGAACAGATTTAATTTACAGCAGGAAGTGTGGAAAAAAGCCTTTAACCGGAAAACTACGTGCAACAAACACTGGAAAGCACTCTGTTTATCAGCTTCATACCATCCATTTGAAAGCTTTTAGCACAGCGTTTTGAGCAATGGAAGGGTATAAAGAAAACAATGCTTCAGATGTCTAGTGAGCAAACAGAGACCAGCTGCTAATGTGAATGTACAGACTAATGCGTCAATCCAAAAACAATGTACAGACCTCTAAAACGGACTAATCATAGTATCACGAGATATGAAGTGCATTCAAACTTCTAATTTAGTGTTCCCTGCATGTTTAGTAGTGTCTCAGCTCATGTCAGATCTTTAGGATGTAAATTTTACATTGTAGAATGTAAAAACATACCTGCAAGTGTGCATTACAAATAATTGCATTATCCCACAGCAAAAAGGTCAGTTAGTTGTCTGTACGATTTAAAAGCTGTTTAAGTGGGTAACATACAAGGTTTATGCACACTTGAGAGAAGCTAAAGACAGTGCACATAAAATAAGCCCTAAAAAAAAAGCATACGACGAGCTCCTCTGTAGGGTTTCTCAGGACCATTAAGACAAACTCATTAGCTATTTTTTGCCAAAGTAACATGCCTAATTGGTCCGGCTGGAGGATGTTAAAGAAGGATTTTAGGAAAAAGGTGCACTTAAAGTGAACAAATGGTCAAAAGTCCACAAGGAAAACTACTAGTGAGGATCATATATCTTGATTCATAGAATGCAAAAATTTGACAAGCTCTCTGAGTATTTAGCACAAGATTTGTTTCTGTCCCATGAGCATTCAAGTACATAGTAAATCCTCACAAAACCTGATGAAAAATGCCTAGGTCATATTTCACCTAAAATTGCCTGTTAAGCCTATAAAGAAGACGATTAAAATTATTTTGCATTGTGACAATATTGTCATGATGGTTTATCCCCAACTTCTCAACAAACTGGTTAAAAAAATATCAGCATGACAGCAGTACAACAGACTGTACAGTAACACACACACACACACACACACACACACATATATAAATAAAAAATTATTATATAAATTGTATACTTATTATAAATTGCATATATATATATATATATATATATATATATATATATATATATACAATTTAATTTAATTTAATAATACATAATATATAATAATATAATAACATATATCAATTTAAATGAGAATTGGGTAATGATGTGACAATGCAGAAAAAAGTCTTACTTAATCCAAATATTTCTTTTGGTTTTTGAGGTGAAATGTGTAACATGTTTTTGACAGGTTCTGTGATAATATATTTATTATTTCTCATTTGTGTTTTACCCTTTTTGCCACAGAACCTAAAATAAACACCTGATGTCCTTATTTGCATCTATTTCAAATGTAACTCTTTGTCGAACTGAAACGATCGTGCATACATAATCAGCAGGATTGATCTTCTAATAGTTGCTGAGAGGTTTCATTAATGGAAATATTGGATTGTGTTGCCCATAAATATGGAATAAAACGATGCTTTAATTCCTAGTCTGCATAGCCCATGATCATGTTTGCTACAATTTTGTAACATTTCAGGTTGCAGTCTTAAATCCTCTATGAAAAGCATGTTTCATGCACTAGATTTTAGCTGGAGAAGTGGCCCGTTCAATGGTCTCTTGAGGACATCGGATGCGCACGGCTCTGCTCTGGATTCCGGTGACCTTGTGTCTTTGTTATTTTTCATAGACTAATGTGGCCAGGGAGGGAGGTAAGCTGACACCCAGCTACACAGTGAAATTGACTGTGTCGGGTGGTTGCGATAAGATCTCCCGGTCAGCATAAGTGTGGCATGCGACCCCCAGTGTGGTCTTACTCCGTTCCGCCCCATTGAGGGGCTAGCCGCTGCCGGAAGAGCCCAATTCCTTTCTCATTACCCATACTGCCATTCTGTAAGACGTGCCTCCCGTTGGTCCATGTTAGACAAGTGAGTGAGAAGGACAAGGAACTGACAGACGGTTTGAACAAGACATGATTATCCTTGTCCATCGCCTATTTTTGGGTGATATGAACCAAATGGAATTTAAAATTTACACATATGGTTAAAATCATCACGATATGCAATAAAAAATTACTATGCAAATGTTTATGCTGTCTAAAATTAAATTTTGATTCTGATTATGCATCTGATCTCAGGGGTTTAGAACATTTTGAATAAGTCAAAGCATCAGTATCAGCATCTTGATGTTTATATACAGTATGAAATGGTTAAAAATAAATCAAATAAATTGTATTTATTTTTTGTGCTCATTTTATACATCTTCAGATCTGGGCCTCTGAGTTCAATCATACAAATGTGGTTTCCACCACAATGCACACAAAACAGAATGTTGGAAAAAAGGGATAGTTCACACAAAAATGCAAACTGTCATAATTTACTGACCCTCATGTTGAGTCCAAAGCTGTATGACTTTCTTTCAGCAGAACGTTTGTAATATTTAACAAATATTATGAAAGTGAAGAGGAATAAGTGAAGCTCCGAACAGTTCAGCTGCAAAAGTAGTCCATACAACTTATACTTAAATTGAAATCTGAAATATTACGTATTATAGCTATGTTCGTGCAAACTTTATACATGAAGATACATTTCATCACTTTTGAAGTCCCAAAATCAAATTTTTTGCATGTCTTGTAATTGTTTGTTAAAAGCTTGAAAATGTGGAAGTGAGAAAGAGATTCAAGAGCTACTGCACAAAGTAAGACTTGTGAATAACAAGTTACATTTTGGTCTGTTTTCAAACACAGAAGTCTTGCAATATAGTCACATGGACTATTTTTATGGTGCTTCCATGTCATTTTATGGAGTTTGACAGCCTCTATTCCTGTTTTTCACTGTAGGAAAAAGAGCATTCTTCAAAACATCTTCAGTGCTCCACTAAGTAAAGAAAGTCGCACAGGTTCGGAACGACACAAGGGTGAGTACACGATGACAGATTTTTAATTTTATGCGAGTTCTTCCTTCAGCAAGCATTTCTGTAGATCTTTATGCATGAGCCACAGTGGGATCTATCTGGAGCAGATCAGGCCTTTCAGTGGTCTGAATGATTGCATAAGTGCAGAGCCGTCCACAATCAGGAACACTTTCCATCCCACACTTGATTGTACATTGTAATTTAAACCTCACTTTTACTATACAATTTTCACACTGTACAGCCGTTTTTACCAGGAACACAAGGTAGATATGTAATGTGTAAGTAAAAAAAACACCACAAAGTCTAAACATGTAGATGTCGCCTCTAGGACCAGAAAAACACACAACACACATCTTTCTTATGATGCTTTCATCTGTGCAAACTAAAATAATTGATGAGAAATGTCTGTCCGGACAGTTTTTCGGGACATTCTGTGATGCATTTACAAAATCTAAACTTTGTGATCGCAAATCTCTGCCATGAGTGATGGAAGTCATTGTTCTGTTGTGAAGTCCGCAGATAAACCATGGTACTTTTCTCATTTCATGCTAGTCCTAGAAATTCTGAAAGAACCCAAGTTTATGGGATAACATTTCATGGGTCATAAATAATGTTGAGGAATGCTCAAAACGTGTGCAACAACAACATTGCTCTTCTTCTTTTTTTTGCCACTAAAAGTTTGCATTTCTATAGAAATGAAGCCCACCTCAGATGCGTCTGTGCCAGTATAGAATCCACTACTCTTCGCTTGTGCATATGGCAGTTTTTCTTTTTTGGTCCATTTTTATTTCTTTATCTTTTTCTAATTTGTACACATCCACAGGAGAAAAGCAAAAATTCATCATTCAAAAAGATCTCTTCCTTAATTTTTTTTTTCCTTTATAAAAAGTCACAAAGTGTCGCTGCGCAGCAGTTGGTTGGCAGGGAGGGATGTCAAAGAGAGAGATTTGTCCGTTTACGAAGAAGGTGAGAGTGTTTCCTCCACAGCCCCTAGTAAGGTTCACATTTGAGCAATAGGCGATTCCACTTGGTCGCCTTTTGCCTTTGAAATCCAGATTTCTCTGGATGGACATTCCAATTTAGATCTTGGCTATGCATTGGCGGGATCGAAGCAGAAAGATAATCCTTACTCAAAATGAAAAAAAAAAATAAAAATAAAAAATCCATCTCTTTGGATTGGCGTCCTATCACTATGATATTCTCCAAAATGTCTCAAGGAGATGCATTCGGGAGACGTCCCACACAGTGCAGTAAATCAAATCAATGTTCAATAGTAGCTTGTCCGTTTGTGACAATCTGTGTAAGATGTACTCTATGTAAAATTGACGAAAGCTTTAAATGGATCTTGGAGACACTGGAACACAATAATAGTAGTAACTAAATTGAGTCATTGATGTTTTAAGTATTAGGCAAATACCTACTGAAGCACATTGTCTTTCAGTGACATAAGATGTCGTACCACCTTCTCAGATCTGTAGACCTCCAAATTTACGTCCTCATGGTCAGACGTGGCCGACCAAACCTCAAGACCTGTTCCCTCACGGGGGGCCTCTCTCTGGTGGGATGAGCGAATGGCCTGAGTGGTATCCGACTCCTTCCCATAATCCCTCTCTTTCTCTCCCTCTACTTTCTCTCTGTCTCTTTCTCCACCTCGCCATTTTGCCGCCTCTTTCTCCTCCTCTTCCTCCTCAGATGTGCCTCTTCATGTGCAGTGCCAAGTGATCAGATCGAGAGAAACACCTAAAGGGAAAGAAAAAAATAACTGATTAGGAAACCTGTGTGACCTGAAATATGGATCTTTTTGAATCTAAGGAGAACTTATTTTAGTTTTAAAGAATTGAATATAATAGCTTTCAACTTTTTAAATTATATGTCTCTTAAATAACTTTAGTAACACTTTAGATTAGGGAGCACTATTCGCTATTGATTAGTTGTTTATTAATGTGCGTATTAGGTGCTAACCAATACTACAAAAATACGACACAAAAATGTGGTCGTCCCAATAATACATTTATTAAAATTAACATTTTAACAATTAAAATCATCAACTTTTATTTTATATTCTTGCTAATAATTTTTTTTCATGTTAAGTCTCACCTGTCCTGGAAATTGGGAAATCAAGGGGTGTGTTTTTGGCAGGGTCGGACAGATGGCAGATCAAGCCACTGCCAGGAGGCACCAAACCAGCTGGTGTACCTCCACCCTCTTCCACACCCCCACCCCGCTGTCCTGACAGGGGGTCCGGACACTGTCGGGCCGGATTAAGAATGGGCCTGAGGGCCAAGGCTACAGGTCTAGCGTCTTGGTCTACTGTATTTACTGTTCAGACGAGACTGGGAGACCCTCCACATGCTGCTCTCCACTGTTCCCGTCAACTCCATCATTGTAATGGTAATCCTGGGCTCCCTTGACAACAACAGAATGGATTCCCCAAGGTGTATGAGCAGCCAGGATGACAAGAGAGGGCGGAGCTGAGCTCAAAGTGAGATGAGCAAGTCTAACAAGCATGAAGGACCTATTTATACATCAAAGCGAAGACAAGTTAAGATTCACTTCAGAGGTGGAAGCTCTTGGTCAATACCAGGAGGCAACAGTCTCGCAGGCACTGTGCCCAAATTTAAAATGTTCTGAAAGAAAGCACAGATCTACGTGCTTAGCTTTGTACCCAAATGGAAATGCATACTTTTTATATTTTAGTTTAGTTTATTTCATGAAATAAAAATGTAAAGTTTGTTGGAACATTTAGAGCGTACCAGCATGCATTTACATTAATTACAGCTTTTGTGTGGAGTATCCCAAATCTTTCAGTTTAGTAATGTCTTAAGCCGCGGTCACACTAGACTTTTCGCTCCATTGACTTCCATTCATACGCATGCGAATGTGTCAAAGCGGAAACGCAAGCCCGTGCGAAGATATTTCTCATTTCGCTGTGTAGCAAAGTTCAATTTTGGTGAACTCTGACCTGCGAATTTGCATCCTGTGAATGCCTGAGACCAATAGAAGATCAAAACCTCATAAAGTGTCCTCTCGGTACAGAAATGGAGGAATCGCTAATTTTAGCAGTGTCGCATCATCTTGCTTTATTCAACAACTTTAAAAGATTACAAAAATCCCATAAAAAGAGAAGCGGCTTGGTTTGCGGTGGCAAGGGAAACAGGAGCGGATGGCATGTTTGAAAAGTGAAACGTGTAATTTGATGTGATTTTTTTTATTACATGAGATTTGTATGTGTGCGTGTGTGTACTTGATTAACTATACTTGTGACTGATTGTAATCACTTAAATAAAAAATAATTATGACTAGTGAGGATATTTTGGCGCATGATGTCATATCCTGCTCCCGCTCCTTTTCGCAGCACCGTCCGAACGAATTTCGTCCTTAGGCCACATTCACACTGCAGGTCTTGATGCCCAATTCTGACTTGTTGACTGTATCAAACATTTTTTGAGAACCAACTAACATCTTATTTTAAAAGTGACCCATATTCAATATCTGCATTTACACTATACACTTGGCAAAACGACCCAAGTTAGACGTACTGACTTGGAAAACTTTAGGCTGAAAAGGAAGCAAAGATGACGCCATTTGCAATGAATGCAGATGAAATGATAATACAAGATTTTGCTTGAACAAAGGCTCAAAAGAAATAAAACCTCAGACTATCTCCACTAGGTTGAGACTTCGTCATCCATTGTGCCATTGAAAAGAGTCATGTGATCACGTGATTGGTGTCCACCTGAATTTATATAATTCGCCGCAGTTGCTTTTTCAGTGACGTACGACTCACATTGACAGGGGAATATCCAATCTGTCCGCTTACATGGCAGACACAAATGTATGTATCTGGTTCATATCACATTTATTTCCACATAAAAGAGGCCTGAAATCAATCTGAGAATATCGGAATCCATGTGCTTTTTTCCTGCTTACACGTTCATGGGATATATCTGATTTGTGCCACACTGGAGGAAAAAAAAAATTAGGTCACTTGATCCATGTAATGTATATGCAGCCTAAGACAGTACTGTTATTGCTAGAACTAAACTAACAAACTGGTTTAGCTGTTTTCATGTATACACTACATGATTTTAGGCCTGATTTTTACTCGCCAACAGTCTTCTGGAGGTTGTGGACAAAAGCGCAAAATCAGAGGCAAATCAGTACTCGTTCACGTGAGTGACAATTGCGTAGAGTGAATAATCAACTACTCAATCTGAGAGAAGCGGCAATGTCTGGACCTTGTCTGTGACTTAGAGTGAAATGTGTTTTGACTGGAAATTACATGAACCAATAAAAGAGCACGATACAGGGCAAGGAAAATTGCAAGGGGAGGAGTCATAGTCTTATGTCTTTTCATGTATTAAAATAGAAGAACAAAATTAAAGTATATAAGATTAAAATATGAAGTATAGTACAAAAAGATTAAAATGAAGGGGAAAAAAACAAAATATACTAAGGCTTTTTAAGACATTACAGGAAGGCCAGAATAAAAAAAATATATTTTTTTTTAATTTAGATTTAAAACTATTAATACTTTCAGCACATCGTATGTCCTCTGGAAGTTTGTGCCAGAGGTGAGGAGCATAACGGCTAAAAGCAGCATCACCAAATTGTTTAGTTCTACTATGAGGTGCAGTTAGAAGAAAATAATCTGAATATCTGAGAGTCCTTCTGGGTTCATATACTGTGAGCATTTTTGAAAGATAGTCTGGAGCAAATCCATGCAATGCCTTATAAACTAATAAGAGATTTTTAAAATCAATACGAAAACTAACTGGTAACCAGTGTAATGACATTAATACAGGTGTAATGTGATCTCTTTTTTTTGGCTTTTGTCAATATTCAAGCAGCAGTATTTTGGATTAGTTGTAGTTGATTAATTGTATTCTTTGGTAGACCCGCAAGGAGGGCATTACAATTGCCAAGCCTGCTAGTTATAAATGCATGCATTCATTTTTCTGTATTGCTCAGAGAGAGAAATTGACTTACTTTAGCAATGTTCTTCAGATTAGAAAATGCAATTTTGGTAATATTATATACATAAAATCTGAATCAAAGACAACTAAGTTTGTTGCCACTTGACTTGGGATTAATCCTAGTATATTTAGCTTAGGGGTCCATTTCTCTGCGCTTTTGATCCAATAATCAAACCTTCCGCTTTATCTTGGTTGAGTTGTAAGAAATTTTGTGACATCCAGTCATTTATGTCTTGGATGCAATTTGCAAGTGAATCAAATTGAACAGGATCATCAGGAGACACGGATATAATACAACTTTGTATCATCAGCATAACTATGAAAAGTGATACCATGCCTCCTGATGATGTGACAGAGAGGTAACAAATATAGATTAAAAAGCAGTGGTCCTAAAACTGATCCCTGAGGAACCCCATGATACCTTGTATGTTCAGACAAGGTATTATTAATAGATACTACAAATGTGCATCCGCTAAGGTATGATAAAAACCAATTCAAAACCAATCCAAGTTCCAGATAGACCAACATAATCACTTAATCTATTTATGAGAATCTGGTGATCTATTTTATCAAACACAGCACTCAAGTCAAGAAGCACTAGTTCAGTAAGTACTTCATATAAATAATATTATGCAATAGTTTAGGAACCTACTATGTATAAATAATGATTATATATTAAAAAATGAGTTTGTCTGCTGGCCCGTTCAGACAAACTGATTCACTAGAATAAACTGGACTTCCCAATATGCAGCATAAAAAAAGAAACAAAATATTTTAGGACATTTTAGCTTCCCCAACACTAATGTGAGTAAATGTAATTGGGGCAAAATAGGGCAGATGACTCTACTTGTCACTCACCATGTTCAGTTTCAAGCTTATTTACAAGATCTGGTGAATACAAAGAAACCATTGTCTGAATAGCAGATGTTTTTAATCATTAAGCTACATCTAGCGGCACAGGTGACAGGTGGACCATCTTAGATGGAGATTTGAAAATGAAAATATTTCAGACTATTCATCACATTTTTAGACTCAGGACACCTGTGTTAGATTTTGCTATTAAAAATAATGTTTAAGATATAAATCAGTTTACAAAAATTGTTGACCAAGAATTCCCAAAATCCCCACAAGGTGCTAGAACTAAATGAGGCTTAGTAAGAATTAAATGAGGCTGATTTGTATTTATTATTAAAAATCCAAAATAGTATTACAATATACACTACTGTGCAAAAGTCTTTGGCCATTATTTGTATTTTCACCAACAAAAATGGTTTTAAGTCAGTTATTTCTGTATTTTGCTGTAGTGTGTCAGTAGAAAATATATGTATAATATAAATACATTTCTAAACATTTCTTTTGCCATTAATTGGAATAATGCAGTGAGATTTTTGTATGCACAAGGAGTCTGACAACAGCCAGTACTCCGCACAGAGATCTGATCTCACCATCATCCAGTCCGTCTGGGATTACATGAAGAAGCAGAAAAATGGAGACAGACTAAATCCAGAAGAACTGTGTCAATGACTCCAAGATACTTCAAGAACCCTACCTGCAAAGCTACCTGAAAAACTATGCGCAAGTGGACCTAGGACAAAAGCTGTTTTAAACGCAAAGGTTGGTCACACCAAATGTTGATTTGACTTAGTTAATGGATTAATAAAATCTATTTATGACATTATTTTTGAAAGCATCCTCACTTTACAGCATTTTTACACGAGTGCCTAAAACTTTTCACAGTATTGTAGCTTTGCAGGAAGGTTTCTTGGAGAAGACGTTGCCACAGTTCTTCTGGATTTAGTCTGTCTCAGTTTTTTTTCTGTTTCTTCATATAATTTCAGATGGACTGGATGATGGTGGGATCAGATCTCTGTGTGGAGCACACTGACTGTTGTCAGACTCCTTGTGCAAACAAAAATCTAACTGGATAACTACAATTAACGGCAAATGTTTAGAAATGTAAACTGATATTTCCTACTGACACACTACAGCAAAATATAGAACCTCAGCAGTGCCACAAACTGATCACCTTCATGCCACGCCGAATTGAGGCAGTAATTAAAGCAACAGGAGCCCCTACCAAGTATTGAGTACATGTACAGTAAATGAACATACTTTCCAGAAGACCAACAATTCACTGTTTTGTTTTTGGTCTTATGAAGTATTCTAATTTGTTGAGATGGTTGATGGTTGAATTGGTGGGTTTTTCTTAAATGTGAGCCAAAATCATCACAATTAAAAGAACCAAAGACTTAAACTACTTCAGTCTGTGTGCATTGAATTTATTTAATACACGAGTTTCACAATTTGAGTTGAATTACTGAAATAAATGAACTTTTACGCGACATTCTAATTTATTGAGATGCACCTATATATATATATATATATATATATATATATATGATAGTAGAAGTGCAACTAAATAGAATTCTCTTTTAAACATTTGTTTAATGTGTACATTTTTATTTTTAACATTACAAACTAGTATTACAAAATGGTATTTTTTAAAATTGTAAATATATAATATTTTTGCATTAATATGTACAGTGAAACGGTCTAGTTGCTGGTCACCATTAAATTGTCTTGCATTTTAGAAATTAATATTACATGTAGTCTCATTCATATTGCATGTACAACAATTATACAAGAATGAAAAAGGTTAAAAAATGAAATAAATTCACTTCATTTTATTTATTATAATGTAATGTATAATATGAAGTTATAACATGAAGTGTAACAAAATGTGACATGTCAGCTAGCATTTGTAGGCGTCACATAGGTGATTCTCTGGAGTTTTGAGTCTCACCTGTCGCAGTGATTGCACTTGAAAGGCTTAGCGCCGGTATGTTTGCGGTAGTGCCTTGTCAACTCGTCGCTTCTTGCGAACCGCCATTCACAGCCTTCCCATGAGCACTTGTACGGCTTCTCCCCTGGTACGGACACACAAACAAACATGCACACACCTGATTAAAAACGCCTCCTCATGGGGCCTTGAAATCAACGACTCGGTCCAGCCAGCCGTCTAATTCATTTGTTTTAAGTTGATTAGCCTATCAGAAGAGTGTTGACACAATTGGAGTTCATGAAATACATGATCGTCATTAGGGCTCACAGCTGTCGGACCAAATGAACTCGCACTCGATGAGCTTCCAATAAGATCTTCAGTGTTTAACAGATGTGAGAGCCTGCATTCACATTTTTGATGTTCTATGTTTTTGTTGTGGATTGGAGCTGTCTTGCAGGAGAGCTGTGGTTCGTACGGGGTCTCATCACTTGTTCATTAGCGCTGCTGAACGTAACATATGAAATGGGGGGCAGGCAGAGTTTATTTGGATCTCTGGGAGAGGTGATAATTGGAGTAGTAATGATGGGTAATGGGGAGGAACCTCATATTTACTGTCAAACAGCTGGCCCTGTCTCCACTGTTTGCCACATCTACAAATCTTCTGAAACAAGACTGTGGCTTCATATAAATAGCTTGACAATAAAAAAGTCAGATTTTCATGCAAAAACGGCTCCTAAATTTAACTAGTAGTCATTAAATCAACATTAACTGAAATATTAAATCAAAATTGATCCTATTTACAAGGCAGTCTATGGCAAAAAAGTTGATTTTTTAATAAATAAAAAAACAACATCCAGAAAACAAACAAAACAACTTTCATTTTTACTTTTATTTATTTATTTATTAAAAGTATTTTTTTTAATTTATTTGGTTATTTTTTAAATCTTATTTTTTTGTTTATTTATAAAATAAATGTATTTATTTTTAAAACATCAATTTAACATCTTGTTTTACTCAGATCCCACTATGCAAGTAAAATGGACTGTGAATTAATTTCATGTTGTCTTCTTGTCTAGCATCGAAAACCTTCCACGACGGCCACAATTTCATTCTGAGCTGTAAAAACAAGTTATATTTAGGTCAGAATTTAAGTGCTAAATTGCATTCCCTTTCACACACATTCACAAGCTAGCCACATTAAGCAGGACAGGTTTAGACCTGTGCTCGCTACGACCACAGCACCAGCCAATTATATGTCAGGGAGGCATGGATGCTCGAGTTTGTCGCCTAGCAACCAGGCAGGAGTGTAACGTAGGAGGCAGCAGTGGAGTCGGCTCGATCTGGCATCGTCTGTCCCTCTGTGCCACCAGCCAATTACGGCTCATACTGGCAGGGGAGGATGCAGTTGCCTGGCAACCAGGATGTTACATGATACATATATGTACAAGTGGATATAGGTGCGTATGTGCGAGCGCATGCATACATGCTCGTGGGAATGAAAGTGCACAGAAACCTGAGAATCGTTCCCAATTATAGAGTCCCATTCGGAGACACACCAGTTGCCTGGCAACTCCCCACCCCCATCACACAACCTTTCCTCTCTCTCACACACTTTTTCTCTCTCTGAGCACCCTTACAGGTGTCAGAGTCTCGCTTAATTACATTTTCTCAGTTGAACTGGAGACAGAATGACTCATTATGATCTGTGGAGCTCACGGCGGCACCAAGCAGAAAGCCTAATTCTGCCCTTCACCGCTCTTCCAAGTTTTTTACGAATCAGACTTTGTTATTATGGAACGTTGAGCGAGAGACAAAGTGGAAACGAGTGCCATCCACGTTCCTCTCTTCACTCCTCTGTCTCCCTGAAAACTCACACTTATCTCGTTCCCAAACGCCATTCATAAAACGCTCCAGAGGGCAATGTCATTTCCATTCACGCCGCCTTCGTTTCTGTACAAATCTCAATCACAGAATTTGTCCAAGTAATAACGCCTCCGAAATAGGATTTTGCCAATTGCAAACAAGTTGACAAATCGTTTTGGCATCAGTTTTTAACGTAGCTCACTGCATCTTTGTTTTTTTGGACAAATGCAATACCGAAATTGCTCAAAGACTATGGCTAATGAATAATGCAGTTTTACTTCGCAAAATGGAATTATGATTTGCATTATTGTGGCAAGTAAGCAACAGGACAGTTTAAATATGGACTTTTTCTGCATTTAATATAATACCATATTTTTGTATGCACAAGGAGTTCATACAAAGGAGTAATATAATATAATATTTTTGAGTAAAAACATCTAAACATTCTTTAATATTGTTTGGCATCAGATTTTAACGCAGTTTATTGCTTTGTTTTTTTTTGTGGAAAAATTCAATTCAGAAATACTATGGCTAATGAATAATGCAGTTTTAGTTAGCAAAGAGGAAATACGATTTGATTGATGCAGCAAGCAATCAAACAGGACAGTTTAAAGACTGATTTTATTTATTAATATATTATTATTATTTTATTTCTATTTAGTTTTTTTTCTTTCTATTGGCACATTATTTAAAATGTCCCCCTCCAATGTAGCTGTCAAATATTATTTGAGTTCCAGCATATTTACCGTATAATACTTTTGGCTTTTGTGTGTCTCATTCACATCAAACCTGGTGTGACATGTCAAGCTTGACTATGCACAAATTAGATTTAGGAGCTATGGTGGAGGGCAAGCTTTTCAGAGAATTGTTACTTAAAGCTATTGTGTGACTTCAGAAAGCTTGGAAAGCACACAAATCATATCAAATACTATTATGGTGCTTTTTTTGTCCTTTTTGGACCTTGACAAGGCGTCCTGGTATTCTTGTGCATTCTGGAGCATCAGTCCTTGCATCACAATATGTATGCCTAAAATACTTCTAATACATCAGAAGGGAGCCATTAACATGTGGCATGTTCTGGTTTCAAGACTTGAGGATCTACCCTGGTGTGTTAACAGGCACGCAGTAGACGTATGGAAATATACAGGCGAGTATGTCTCATTCCAGCTGGTCCATCCATCATGAGGCAGTTATTCACTCCGTGGACAGCTTTGGGACAGCCGTCTGAGTGCTTTTGGATTGAGATCGAAGAGACAGAGAATTATGGCCGTTTTCTGCGCTATTCGAATCTGCTGAGGAAGTACTGTCGCAACCTTGAGAAAATGTTTGTCGCAGAGGGGGCTGGACAGGCATGCTGCCATGGCGACGACGAAGTACCATTAATTACATCAGTTTGTCGCTTATTGTGGAAAATAAGATTGATTGCGCAAAATAAGAATATTGATGATAAATGTGGTGGAAATGACTGAATATTTCTCATGTTATCATGTTATTAATGTAAGAGCAGGTAAAGTGTTTGTTTAAAACTGCAAATAAACTAAACATTTAATTAACCACTACATCAAACAGATGATGCCATGTTGTTGCTAGATATGTTTCGGCTCCCTCCCTTAATAAGTCTATGGTCTATAGTATTTTCGGTCGACCTTCAGTAGAGTGAATCATTGTGTAACACAGATCGGGAAGAAGGAGGCGGGAACCAGCAAACATTTAAACATAATTTAATAATAAAATAAACACACACAACTGAAAATAGTGCGACAGCCCCTCACAGACGACTGCCGCGCACAAACAGAACCAAAACACAAAATAAAGTCCAGGCCTGGTCCTCTCTCATCTTGCACTATTGTCACTCCTCCTTTTATCCTTCCGGAGCTCCTCCGTGGGACTCGAGACCAGTGAGTGGCGCAGGCGTTGTGCATTATCACTTACTCCACTGGCCTCGCTCCGTTCCCACGGCTCTCGGCCCCGCCCCACTCGTCACATATCGCCCCTCGCAGGCCGGGGCGTACTCCTGAGACTGCGCTCTACTCCCCCCTTCCCCCCTTCGGGGGAGCCGATCACGGCGGCTGTGGTGTACCTGGCTGGGGGTAAGGACAGACAGACGAGGCAAGAGAAAAGGAGACGGAAGGATGAGGAGAGACAGAGACGAGAGAGGGGAGAAAGGAAAAAAAATCTTGTTCCGGTTCCCAGACACACAACCGCTCTGCCCTCCACTAGCTGGGTAAACTCTTCCGCGATGCCTGGCGGCGGCACTGGTTAGCCCTCGGTGGATGGCCCGACACTCCTCCGCCGCCCGGTGGACGGCGACTGCTCCTCCGGGTTCGGGGCAGCCGGCAGGAGTCCCCCGTTCCCTGCTCCTCCCCATCATGGCGGATGGCAGGAGGCTCCGGCCTCAGGCGAACGGCGGCGACTCCTCCGCTCCCTCACGGATGGCCGCCATCCCTCTACAGCCCAGGCGGCCGGCAGTGAGTTTGTCCACCCCCCCGGCAACTCACTCCAGCCCACCGCCTTGAGCGTCCATGGCGGCAGACGGACGACTGCTGCACATAAATAGAACCAAAACACAAAATAAAATCCAGGCCTGGTCCTCTCTCGTCACTCCTCCTTTTATCCTTCCGGAGCTCCTCCATGGGACTCGAGACCAGTGAGTGGCACAGGTGTCGTGCATTATCACTTACTCCACCGGCCTCGCTCCGTTCCCACGGCTCTCGGCCCTGCCCCACTCGTCACACATTGACAGTATTTATGATTCACTTAATTATTCTACTCATTTATTCATTACTCATTCATTCAACCCATACTATATATACACACAAACATAAAATAAAAAAATATTGAATATTGGTTGAATGATTGATTCAGTCACTCACTCAAATACAGTAACTTGTATTGCTCCTGAATGAATCAGTGTTTTAGAACAAAAAAATATTCTACAAGTACTTCAGTTACTCACTCATAATGAAAGTCACTGTTCTAAAATGAGCTGCAGCTGTCTAATGGTCTTCTTGGGAAGGCTGGTGAGGAGACCACTACAATAGTCCACCCTGCTTGTGATAAATGCATGAACAAGTTTCTCCAAGTCTTGACTGGAAACAAAACATCTAATTCTTGCAATGTTTTTGAGATGATAGTATGCTGATTTAGTTACTACTTGACTACTGCTATCACATAAATTGCTAAATTTATTCATAAAACCTTTATGTTAAATGTTTGCGAAACCATTCTTACATTAATCATTCTTAAAGGGGTCATATGATGTTGCTAAAAAGAAAATTA